GTCATGTTAATAGTGTCCTATGTGAACATGTTCTGCATTTATTTTCCCCAGGTTTTTGTTTTTTTTCTTGAAAATCGTATTTGAATGTGCGGGTGGGCAAATATGTTGTATGCACCCCTTCAATGTAATCGTGAGTTAGTTCAATGAAAATAAATAAATAAAAATAAATAGAATGAAGAAAATATTACATCTATATAATAAAAAAGATATACCTGAGAGAAAATTATGCATTTAACTGGTTGATTACCAACATTCTGCAACATATCTTCTTTTGTACTCAACAGAAGAAAGAAACTCATAGGTTTGCAACTTGAGGGTGACTAAATGATGACACGATTTCCATTTTTGGGTGAACTTTCCCTTACGTAAGCAGTGAAGGTACAAGTAGTTTTATAAATTTACATAAACATATTTGCATGCTATACTTTGTGATGAAAATATATAAAATATCAAATTTTTTATGAATAGGCACATATTGATTAGGTCAAATGGATTAACCCTGACAAAAGTCCTTGATATTCATGAAATATATTTTTTAAATATATGCTTATTTAAATAATTATCATGTGTATGCTACACCCATGATTGTTTGTTTATTTATTTACTTATTATTGAACATGCAGGTATTTTCATTCTTAGAGGTGTGTGTTAAATGAAAATAAATAAATAAATAAAAATAAATAGAATGAAGAAAATATTACATCTATATAATAAAAAAGGTATACCTGAAAGAAAATTACACTTTTTTTTAGGCCCATAGTATTCAATGGCTTACTGTAGTAGGTGATTTCATATAATAATGTAAATGTAAACTCATTACTTGTCTGAATTTCAACATTATAATCGAATCATAAGTCATAAAAAGAATTAGGGTCCTTGACCAATTAGAAGGAAATGCATCCAAACTGGATAAAGGGGCCTCAATATTTTGCCCCTTACAAGACATAATGTCATAACAGGGAGAAAATGATAATCTACAGCAATTAATCCCATGCGCTAGCTCTTTATCTTTCCATTCTTCCTTTTGTGTGACTGACACAGCTCGATGCAAAGCCGCAGGCTCACGTTGAAGTAGTCTGGGAGAAAGCTGAAGACCATGTAATGAGTGCCGAAGAGAGGGATGAGGAGGAGGGTGGACTTGGTCAGTCGCCTGAGGGGAGGAGAGATAAAGGATGAAGAGGAGGAAGGGTAAGAGTGTTATTGGGCAGATCAGTGCTGGGAGATTCTGGTGAGTGGACTTTATGGATTCAAATGAGTAAGAACATGATAAGGCATGACTTCAGACAACATTGTAAAGGAATAGTTCACAAAAAATCCAAATACTGTCAATTTTTACTCACCCTGTCATTCCTAATCTGCATGCTGTTAATTTTTGCATGTACAAAGGAAGTGAATAGGGACAGATGCTGTGAAATCTCCAAAAAGTAGCAGAGAGCATTGTAAAAGAAACATTAAAGTAGTCTTTTTGACTTGTAGGCTATACTTTGTGAGAAAGATCCTGCACATTCAGACTGGTCACACAATATGCAAGAAACCATGTCGTTTTGGCATCAATGATGGATGAATGCAGCATGAGATATATCAAGCAATTCACTTTCATTGTCTTCTGTGGAAAAATAAAAAACAGCAGCATGGTGATAAAATAATGACAATTTTCATTTTAGTGTGAACTGTTCCTTTATTAATTTGTGTCCTCTGTATTTGCACACTGATGTGAATATTCTTGAATGCATTATAAATACTGTGAGTAATGTTGTATTTATATCTTCCAGTAATATAATTTCTTGTGTTTGTATTGTTCTTCATACAGTATGTGAGCCAGATAAAAATTAATATGTATGAATGTAAACATATCTGCAGTGATTATTATAATTGCTGATTTTAAAACACAAATGAAAAATGTATTAGTTATTTATAGAACCATCATTCTGAGCTTAAAGGGAAAGTTCGTCCAAAAAAAATGGAAATTCATCTTCTCACACTCTAAACCTATGATTTTCTTTCTTCATAGAATACAGAGGTTTAGTTGCTTTTTTCATAAAACAAATCTGTATAAAGAACTGTTGCATAAACGTAGTCTATATAACTTGTACACAATATAAGTCTTCTGAAGTCAACTTTGTGTGAAATTGAAAGTTTATTCACTAAAATTTAATCATATTTTAATCATACTGGGTGAGCTATTCCTTTAAATATAGATATTTTGAGGTCCCTCAATGTTAAATATATTACAATTTCACTCACAGATCAATGAACTCGCTGTGTTTTTCTAAATTAGCACCACTGCACACAGTTTTAATGCAAAACCATCAAATAATCTGACAGAAACTCTTAAAAACACAGATCCCAGAGAGTGTAGCTGTCATTCACAGGCCTGTGTGACATCTGCATATGTATGAGTATGAATATAAACACAACAGCAGCAAACACTCATTTTTGCTAAAAACAAAGAGCCTCTTCATGATAACACCATTAACAGGCCACATAACCAAACACATACACACATCTCTCTCCAGATATTGTGTATGAGCTGTGCAATGTACTGGAAATCACCCTCTGACACGTGGATGTAAAAACAGTATTGAAATTTGATTGTTATGTTGCTTGGCAACAGCCTACAGTTTGGCTATATGAACTGGCGGAAGATTTGTTTATTGTGATTTTTGTTATTATTAAAACTGTTTCAATCGATTACAGTTCGAGTACAATTAAGAGACTTCTTTCAAAAACATTAAAAAAATCTTAATTATTCAAAACTTCTGATCACCAGTGTATATAAATAAAGAAAAGGAAAGCTCATTCAAACTATAATAATTCAAAAATAACTCTGCTTGCGGGTTATCTATTAAAATACCTAAAATAGCAAAAGCAATCTTATTTCCAGTGGTTGTCATAATCACCAGTGCTGCTATCTGCAGGTTTCTATGGGGGGGAAGTAAGTACAGTAGAAATGCTTTAGAGGCTGAAAGAACAAAGCCACGGCACTTAAGAGAATCACACTTCCATCAGCCGCAGTGGCTAAAAATTATCAAAGGATCCTTACAGTGACAATGACGTGTCGAGTCCACAACAATCTCCTTCAGCGGCATTCTGGGAACTGTGAGGTTTGCTTCAGCTGTACATCTGTAGTGCTTATCCATGGATCTCAAAGTCTCGCTCCATGCATTTCATTACCACATCCCTGGAGTTCTTGTGTGTTTATAGGATATAAAAGAGCCACTTTTGCATAACATCCTGTCCTGTCTACTTCAGTACTATAAGATATTATTTGTAAATAATTTGACTTTACAATGATTTTCTATATGAACTTACTATATTCTTGCAGCATGTATTAATGTTGGTTAATGTTAGCATCCAAAGATATTACTACATTACAGTTAAAATTGTTAGTAAAACTAAAACTATTAAAAAGTATTTTCGGTAATTAAGTTGAAATAAAATAAAACATAAATATTAGATGAAAAACTTATATTAGAAACAAATATGAGAAATGTTGCCCTGGCAACTAACTGAAATACGCTGAAGTTCTAAAACGACTAAAACTGATAAAAAAAAATTATTAAAGCTAAGTAGAAATATTCAATTTAAAAAAAAAATGTCAAAAGTACATAAAGAAATTAAAATAAAATTTGCAAAAAAATAATAATTCAAAATATCAATAAATCCTATAATTGTATACAAATACTAAAATAACACTGCTACAGTATAATATTTGAGGAATATGTTAACAATAGTTCATGCATTCTAAACTGGAACAATAGTATATTTAAAAACTAACATTGCCTTTAAGTTCATAATACCTAATGCATTTAATAGTAAAGTTGATGTATTGAACCTATGAATTTGTTAGGCTTATTGTAAAGCTCCCATCACTTGAGCCACGCTATCCCACAATCCTCCTCCGCTCAGCTCCCATAGAGAATGAATTGAAAACACTCCACTCATGCATTTACTGTCCCGTTTTTGATATCCCTGCGCATGGGTTTGTGGTGTTGCCTTGATTTCTGTACCTGTACTGAGCCGAATTGTTGAACTGGATCAAGCGAGGGTTCAGTTTCTGCACCAGAATCCTGATAATGTTCATGAACAGAAAGAAGTTCACCTGGTTGGGAAGGAAAACAGGAAAATATGAGCTGAAAATATCTGTGTGTGAGCCAAATTCATTAATCTGTGTCCTCATGCTTTATCTCACCCCTATAGACACTACAATAGGACCCTTGATGATCCACCAATAAGGAGAATCTTCATTTATGTCCCAACACCTGACAAAAAAACAACAACAACAAAGGCCTGGATAAGACAGAGCTGATTCAAATCCTTTTCTTATCTCACACAATCCACTAAAAGACTCATTTCCTGTCTGATGTGAGCGCAGAGCAACTGTGGATCTAAAGAGGCAGTGAAATAATAAACACTCAACTGCTCTCAAAGATCATGTGACCAGGAAAAAGGTCATTCAAGTCATTCTGAACTGTTTTTGTATTTAAACTGTAGATCTTTTAGAATTTAAACTATAGATTTGAAAGTGTGAGTATTTCTTGCTAGTGTGTTCTGGGTGGTTGCTATGCGGCTGCTGAGGTGTTCTGAATGGTTTTAGTGTGTTGCTCTGCATTTTCCAGGGTGTTCTGGGTCATTGTTTACTTAGCCCCAAGTCTTGTAGCAGACTAGCTGCCAACTGAAAATATCAAAGGCGATGAGACTGAGTCTTGTAGTGCGTTCTTGGCTTTAAGAACTTGTTCAAATCCCTAAACCTAGTATGAACAAGCACCACTAAGTAAGGTAAAGAAAAATGTGCAATTACTCTGTGTCCTCAAAATACAGTCTAGAGCAGATCCAGAGGATGATGCAGACCAGGGGAAAACCTGCAAGAAAAGACAAGAGACAGACAAAAAGATTAAAGGGGTCATAGGGCGATTTCAATTTTTCCTTTCTCTTTGGAGTGTTACAAGCTCTTGGTGCATAAAGAAGATCTGTAAAGTTGAAAAGACTAAAGTCTCAAATCCAAAGAGATATTCTTTATAAAAGTTAAGAGTCAGCCACGCCTACCTAAAACGGCTCGTTCTAACACGCCCCCACATATCTATGTCACTATCTGGGAAGATTTGCATAATGCCGCCCAGATGTTCACGCAAAGAAAGAAGGCGTAACTTTTATTCTCGCTGTAGTATTGTTGCCGCCGCCATGTCGTGAAGGCGCTGTGTGCTTCGTTGTGAAAGCGAAACTACTTTGTTTGGCCTTCCAAAAGAGGACGATATCGCTTCGTCATGCCTAGAGCTGATCCGTGCTGGTCGCTGAGGAAATACATCAACTTCCCGCTGTGATCGCCGGATCGGATTTCACCGTGGTGAGTCCAGCCCGGGGTCGTCACATGTGGTTGCCGCAGGCATCACAATATGGTAAGGGGCGTAACATTTCCGTCACACGCTTGAGGTATTCGGCCAATCACAACGCACTGGATAGCTGGCCAATCAGAGCACACCTCGCTTTTTCAGACTGATGAGCTTTGTAAAAATCGACACGTTTCAGAAAGGCGGGGCATAGAGGAGAAACAATAATGTACAGTATGTGGAAAATAATGAACCTTTTTCTGTTTTTTTGAACCTTAAACTGCATAAACACATTTCATTACACCAAATACACAAAATAATGTTCTTTTTAGCAACATCATATGACCCCTTTAAGGCGTTAGTGAAAGGGAATCTTTCAGAGAGCGTTCAACGCAACTCTGTAAAAAAAAAAAAAACATAATAATCAAAAAAGCACAGATAATAAACCTAGAAGCTATTATTTTCAATGATGATCATGATAATGGCACTGCATGTAGAATAAGTCAGTTTGATTCAATTCAAAATTAATATTTTAAGCAATTATGAAAATAAGCTTAAACGTTTATGGAAATTATACAGCATTTAGACAGTGCTCATTAAGTATTAAACATTTGCACAAGAAAACATCAATTTTCAAGTGCTTTCTATCTAAAAATTAAAAAAGAGGGAGCTGATATCTTAAATATATTCATGAAATGCAGTTTGCAACCTCTTCCAACTTTCCAAAATGTGATTCAAAAGTATGTGAAGCAGAGAAAAAAAAAGTAGGACTTGATTTAATCCTCCAGGAATTGACTGAAAGCATTATACACCAGAATGTATCTCAGATTAAAACTAAAAATAATTCTTTAGAATAACATGCGCTGATCACTGACAATAAAACTGATCATTCACAATAAAACCGGGAGCAGGTATAAGAACAAGAGCATCGACAATGTCATTTGAACTGTTTGTTCTTTCAACTGTCTGCTCAAATCAAAGACGATAGAAATGCCAATCACATAAATTGTTCTGACACTTCTCAGCCCTCCCCGTGTAACAGAGACAAGGAGAGAGAGACAGAGAAATATAAATGGAAACTGAGAAACAGAAGGATCATGCTGTACTTCACTGATTGGAGTGACTGAGGCTGTAATAGCTGCTAACATAAGAAAAATAATAGGTTTCAGAAATACACATCATAATGTACAGTCAGTAATGTAATGGTCATTATTGCAAAAATAAAACCCTAGACTGATCGTGATGTGACACAGAGCACATACATTATTCTTTACATACATACTGTATACTTCCATTCAAATTATTAGAGTGGTTAAAATGTTTTAATGTTTTATTCTTTTATGCTCAACAAGCACGTATTTATTTAATCAACAAATAAAGTAAAACAGTAATATTGTGAAAAAATTACTACAACTTAAAATAACTGCTTTCTATTTTAATATATTGTAAAAATTTATTTCAGTGATGCAAAGCTGAAATTTCAGCATCATTACTCCAGTCTTCAGTGTCACATGATCCTTCAGAAATCATTCTAATATGCTGCTCTGCTGCTCAACAAACCTTTATTATTATTGCTGAAAACAGTTGATTAATATTTTTGTGGAAACCATGATACATTTTTTTTTTCAGGATTCTTTGATGAATAGAACGTTCAAAAGAACAGCATTTATTTGAAATTTGACATTATAAATGACTTTATTGTCACTTGTAATCAATTTAATGAACTCTTGTTGAATAAAAGCATTCAATTATTATTATTATCAATGTTGAAAACAGTTGTGTGTATATATACCATTTGAGTATCCTGACACTGCAACACTCACTCAACCAATAGCATAAGTTTGGGGCGGGACTACGTGTAAATTTGACCAATGGCAGATGGGATGTGTTGGGGATGGGATGTGTCATTATTTTGCCATTTAATTTGGTCTTTGGTGACATTTTTTGGTCACACCGCAACTATAACCATAATGACACAGAAGAATGATATCGTTGGATTTTTTTCCAGCTGATAAACAATAAATACATTGACAGCCAATCAGAATCCATCCTGCTTTAAAGGGGTCCTATTATGCTCTTTTACAAAGTCTTGCTTTTGTTTTGGGGGTGTACTAGAACAGGCTCTCATAGGTTGTTCGAAAAACACATTATTTTTCACATATTTACATTATTACAACACCTCTCTCCCCAGTCTGGCATGAACGGCTCGAATAGTTCCTGTATCAAATGAAGACCCGCCTTCTGAAATACGAAATGTGCTGTAATTGGTTAGCTGGGCCAGTGTGTGCTGTGATTGGTTAGCTGGGCCAGTGTGTGTTGTGATTGGTTAGCTGGGCCAGTGTGTGCTGTGATTGGTTAGCTGGGCCAGTGTACGCTGTGATTGGCAGCACTCGGCGCCTGGTCGGGAAATGTCATGTCCCTTACCATAGCCGCCTGCAAGCTTCAGTGTAAATATTGCGTCAAAATCAAATCAATTTGAGCGCTATTTAAACCCAGATGATTGTAACCACTCTAAGTTCGTCTGCCTTGTGAAAACTAGCGTGTCTCCGACATTGTGATTACACAGTTGAAAATGTGAAAAAGCATAATAGGACCCCTTTAAAAGAGCTTGAGCATTTAAAGTGACAGACGACAAAAATGCAACGCACTTATAATAAACACAATATTATTGTACGTTGGTGTGGACATTAATATAGTCATCGTTATAGTTATCTTTATAGCTATCATTCTTGGTGTGAACAGTTACAAAAATAATATCAGGACAACAAACTAAATTTCATTTTTCCCTTTTTGTTCCTTTAATAACTCACATAGTCTACACTAGTAGATGAACCTCATTTGTGATGGCCAGAGGAAAGAGTGTGAGAGAGGACAGGGCCAGATGGCTGTAGGGACAGATATGAGCGTCTCACCCCAGCCCAGCAGAGCGAAACTCCAGAGACAGCGGCGGCTGCGCGGGAAGGCCGAGACCAGCAGAAAGTTCAAATACACGGCTTCAACCAGCAACCAGAAGAAATTAGTCATGACGCAATAATGACAAAGTACCACTGACGCCTTACAGGCCGCCTGCGGAGAGAGAGAGAGGAAGAGATAGAGAGAGATGCTGAGAATGATAAACAGGGCATGACGGCAAAAAAACAAGAGGAAGAGATAAACAGATGGAGAAAGCAGAAACTCAGCGGGAAATAAAGGAAGGTGAAAAATAAATGCAGCTAGAAGTTATCAAGGAACTTTCCATAAACAGGGCACAAAATAGAGTCTAATAAACTCTTAATTCATTTTTAATTACTTTTTTATTTTTTTTAAATAAAAAGGTGCTTTTTCAGACCTTCAGTTAAGCTCCAATAATTAAAATAAATACACTTCTGTTCAAAAGTTTTAGCTCAGTAAGATTTTTTTTTTTAATCAATCAATTAAAAATTGTATTCAGCAAACATGCATTAATCAAAATGTACAGTAAACTGACAGTAAAGACATATTGTTACAGAAGATTTATATTTCCAATAAAAGCTGTTCTTTTGCTTTCTATACATAAAAGAATCCTGAAAAAAAAATGTATCATGGTTTCCACAAAAATATGAAGCATCACAACTGTTTTCAACATTGATAATAATCAGAAATGTTTCTTAAGCAGCAAATCAGCATATTAGACTGATTTCTGAAGGATCATGTGACACTGAAGACTGGAGTAATGATGCTGAAAATTCAGCTTTGCATCACAGGAATAAATTACATTCTAACATAGATTCAAATAGAAAACAGTTATTTTAAATTGTAATAATATTTCACAATATTACAGTTTTTACTGTATTTTTGATCAAATAAATGCAGCCTTGATGAACCTAAGACACTTCTTTCAAAAACATTAAAAAATCTTGAAGCCCCCAAATGGTAGTGTATCTTAAAATATTATGCTTTCGGGACTTAAATAAGTAAATTTAATTGTTGTTGTTTTTTTTGTCCTGTATCTTCTGATTGGCTGTGATTTTATGGCATCATGCATCAGTTTTTTGTTGTCACATCATGCCTGGCTACACAATATAAGGCAACATCGCATACATCCTTCATGGAGAAAGCAATCCCAGAATGCATTGTGACAACTGACAAGATGGTGAATGGAGTCAAAAGAAATGTCAAATATAAATACAGTTATGACGACTTAAAAAAAAAACCTGTCACACATCCGTTGAGTTATTTGAGTGACAAGTGGAGAGTGTGAAGTCAGTCAGGTTTGTACAGTACTTTTCACAGGAAAGGCTGTCAGGACTGTGGTGTTGATGGACTCACTGTAGAGAGTGTGCAGTGATCTGTGTCGTCACTGGAGAACAGCGTGGCATCTTTGATAAACACAGCCACCGATTTCAGGATGAAGGTGAAAAACAGCTGCATGTGGATGTAGTTTCGAGCACAGTGTAATCGCCTACAGAATACAAACAACAGGTCAGTTTTTTCATTTTAAAGAACACAGTTTTTGAACAATGTTTGAAAATTATTTAAAGATGTATAGCCAGTGTCAGGTTTATGTAAAAAAAAAAAAAGTAGCTAGATATGCTAAAATTACTCACAAAATAGACTAAATATATTAAAGCAGTCCTTTTTTTTTACAATAACTTTCAGGTTATGTGAGTGGATTCTGTGTTTAGGTTTGGAATTTTTTTTTTTTGTTCATCAATAAGAACGCATTGTAAAGGCACAGTACCTGAAGAGCAGCAGTATTGCCACGGCAACAGAGAGCGACAGCAGTGATGCTCCATAACCAACAGTGTAGATCAGTTTCACAGTGGCAAAATACGACTCCTGAGGGACAAACAAGCAGAAATCAATTACATCTGAATGACCATGTTCAGGACACAGAGTCTGTTTGAATACAATAAACATAATTTTCTGGATAAACGGGTAAATCATTGAATGTGCACATCAATCAACCAAAAGATGCATCATTATTTGATCCAATGATGAATGAATGAATGAATAATAATTTGAATCAGACAGACAAAATGATGAAAGCCTAAAGCCTGTTTATACTGATTTTTTAAAATTAAACTTAAAATAATTTTTCAATATTTATTTTTTTTAAATGTAAGTAAAAGTTTACTCTTGCCTTTTTAGAGCATCACCGAAACACTATTTTCTTGTTTATCACTGTAAAGTTGCTTTGCAACAATCTGTATTGTAGAAAGCGCTGTATAAATAAAGGTGACTTGAATTGACACGACTAAAAAAAAAGTTAATTTTTAAAACATTAAATATAAAAAATAACTGAATAAATGTTACTAGATTAAAATTAAGTCAATTAAATGATTTATTATTATTATTTTATATTAACTTTTATAAAATGTATTTCTATATTAACTACATGCACTTATTTCATCATAAACTTAAAAACTATAAGCCAACTATAAACTATAAGTGAGAATTATGGCAGACAGACATAATTGTGAAAGCCTATAACCTGTTTATTCAGAAAAAAATAACATTCAAATTCAAATAAATCTAGTAAAATTTGATAGTTTAATCTTCAGTGAAAAATAAAATAAATAATATTATGATTACATTAAATATAAAGTATAGTATAAGTAATATTGAGTTAAATAAATGTTACTAGATTTAAATTCAGTCAGTAAAATTAGTTAGTCATTATTATTACTATTATGAAATATTTATTAATTTAGTAATTACAATGTACTAATCTATTTATAAATTAACTAAATTGATTTATTTCAACATAAAATTAAAAACCCAAAGTTGGTTTGAGTTCATATTGAGATTCTTGACTGTGTCTTTACAAATCTGAGACATTCTTCTGAAACTAGAGGAGGCGCAGATTACTGGGGTCTTTTTCTAGGAAGAACAACCTGAAAAGCAAGACATTTAAGCAAATGTGTATGGATAAAGTGGAAATAATTATCAAATATATGCAAGTATGAATTTCAGAGTATGTCTGACCTCTGGGATCTCGTCCTCAACACTGCAGGCCTCATGGTAAGCAGGGAACGGATGTGACCAGCCGCCAGCCGTGCAGTTACGACTCACTATCCCTAGAGTAATCCATTAAAGGTCAAAAGGTCAATGACAATAATGCAAGGCATTCTCTGCAAGCTTTTCAAAAAAAGGTTTAAATATGCTAATACGGTCACCCACCGGCACCTTCAAAATAAATGCATAAATGCAAGTTGGCATTTCATGTGGTTTGTATTGACTTTTTCTCTAGAGAATGAGATGCAATGCATAAAATTAGCTTGTGCTAAAGCTAAATGTGAAACGAAGTCTGTTTCCTTTTCTACACAAGACAGAGATACAAGGATGTAAGGCAGGGCCGTTTCTAGGCATAAACCCTATTCGCACGGGATTAGTATTATCTGGAGACCTTGTGTGATTTTGAAATTAACCCCCCACCTCTGAATTTCGTGTGGTGCATTCGCACGGGATAAGCGAAGCCTGTGATTTTACTCGAATTTACCGACTTATCTACCGGATACCCGGATGTCAAGGCTTTGAGAGTCCCGTTCTATGGTCCAGATGGATTTAAAAAAAAGAAAATAAATTAATATAGTTTCGTGCCCTGTGACATTTACATTTCACCAGGTTAAAATAGTATCTCAAGATTTATGCTTGATTTATTTGTAACACATTAACCTCAAAACCTTTTCAGCCCTTTCTATCTACAAATTGTATGGTGTAGTGATATAACAGCACCCAAAATACTATCAAACACTCCAACACAGCTCCATTCTTCGCGAAAGATGGATTATATATAAATTGGGGTGGGGGGCGTCAAATTGGCTAGAAACGGCCCTGATGTAAGGATTTGAATACAGTGTTGGTTGGTCGGGCTTAGACCAGGTTTAGTTTGTTATACTGTTGGATCTGTGGAGACTTTGAAAAGGTACTGCAAATATGAAAGCCTTTTTTGCTCAAACTTACAAATCCTTGAAATCGAGGCTGTGCATTTTACCATTTGAGGTTTCAATTCATATTTTCAAGGTAAATGTGTATTGTGAAAGCCCACAGACTGAAACCAACTGGTTTGCTCGCAGAAGCTGTTTATGTGGAAATGCATGTATGGAGTAGGGTTGAGCAAACTCTCTTTCTATTCATTAGATAGAAACATTTCTATTTCTGAAATCCAAACAGTCAACCAATATTCTGTTCCAGACATTTCAATGTATTTTTATATAACCAATGTGCCCAATTATGTTTCTGTTATGGGTATTTAATTAAGTGCTTTCACCGCCAGTCGAAATTTTTTTAATTTTGCCAAACAGCATCACATAATGACCACAACATTCTTTTTAATCATTTTCAACTAATAAAAATGGTCCATTAAATTAAAGTTAGTTTATTAAGTACAATTAAATATGGGGAAATTGATGCTAATCTCTAGATACTGTAGCATCCCAAATGTTGTTTATAAAAAAATAATGCAATGTTTTAATTTAATGCTGTATAATTAAAAACAAGCATGGATAAGGCATAATGAAAAATTAAATATTTGTATTGATCAAATAATACTGTTATATGAAATGTTACATCTCAAGTGTTACAATTCAATGTTTTAATGTAATTCTATATAATAATGTGCATGGATAATTCACATTGAAAAAAATTCTTAAATTGGTTATTAATGTAATCCAATGTTTTAATTCAAAATTAAATATTTTAATTGAACAAATATTGTTGTGTGAATTGTTATCTGAAATGTCAGTTATTAATATAATAACAATATGCATGGATATTCCATGTAAAAAAAAATGTTTGTGTCTCATTTATCATATAATCCTGGTACGTCAATTTCTTTTTATTTCAATCCTATTTATACATGAATTTCAATTTAAATTCAGATTACAATTATGCATCCTGTTTGCCACTTTTACCTAATTCACATTCATGTACTGAACTTTTAAATTGAGTTTCGAATCATGCACAAGTCTGATGTGGACGGTGTGGTTGTGTGTCGTACCCGTGTTGTTCTTGATGACAGAGAAAACAGCAGGACAGGGCAAGTGGATCGTCTCACCCACTGCAGCCCTGGGCCAACACACTACTGAATCCCATACTGGCAGACAATCTTCACAACACACACACACACACACACACACATGAAGAGCATGTGTTTATACAGTAAATACCCATGCACTCAAGCACCATCTGACAGGCTATCTGTGGCATGTAACAGCTAGAATTTGCTATATAAACGTCCAGTTTTCCACATTGGATTGGCACAAGTACATCTGTGCATGCGAATCCCCTGCAAAGCCGCTGCCAAACACGACTTCACTTCTGGGATCCACTGGGAAACACAAATGCAAGGCACTGCATTACAATGAGTCTGATCTTGTACTAAACTCTGTCTCTGAATGTCACCACTGACAGCTTATGGCAGTGTTAAATGCTATGCAGATGTGATTTATTTTTAAATGACATCTCATGGGTTTGTGACTTGTTTTCGTGTCATTTAAAATAAAAAAAATGTAGAGTTTAAAAGTCAAAAAGTTAAAACGCTTGACAGGAGAAATTACTGATGATGTTATGGTTTAAAATATTTGTTTTAGAAATAACACAGAAATAAAAAATATAGTAAATTATTTTACAGTTGCAGAATTTCCAGTTTGGGGTCAGTTTTTGCAAGATTTAATAAAGTATTTTGAAAGAATTTAACGTATTGTAACATTTATAATGTTACAATAGATTTCTGTTTCAAATAAATGCTGTTCTTTTGAACTTTCTCTTCATCAAAGAATCCTGAAAAAAATGTATCATGGTTTCCACAAAAACAATCATCAGCACAACTGTTTTCAACATTGATAATAATCAGAAATGTTTCTTGAGCAGCAAATCAGCATATTAGAATGATTTCTGAAGGATCATGTGACACTGAAGACTGGAGGAATGATGCAAAGAAAAATCGGAGAAGCAGGATGCCTAAACAAAAGTCTCCATTTGCTCTCAATTGAAACTCAGCGCTCTTTAGCATGCTTCTCATATCCTAAGGGTAAAAACCCCTTCAACATCTAATCAGGAGCGTCTGTTTATTTCTACCTGAGGAGCTGCTGAGGTTCCCAAGATCTGTGATCTCTCTGAGACACCGCTGTTCATCTCTTGCCAACTGAAAGATATACTCACACTCAGGATGCAAACTAGACAACACCTGCCAAGAGAGAAAATTAAATGAGTGAGTGGTGCATAAAAATGCCTTATTACACAACACTTAAAGATCCATCTTCAGACACTCACGCTCAAAAAAAAAATTACAATCAATTGCAAATGCAATCCTGACCCACTTTCCAAACACAGAGAGAGCATGTGCTTATGTGCATAGTAAAAAAGATTGAAATTGTAATGGTATTAACAGCACAGAAACACATTACTTCTGACTGCATTGGCAGAAAGGTGACATTTCTTCTTTTCAATGGATAGTCGATCTGGGATTTCAAATTATTGTAGCCTCTGTAATGGCTGTTAAAATTACAATCAATTGCAAATGCAATCCTGACCCACTTTCCAAACACAGAGAGAGCATGTGCTTATGTGCATGGTAAAAAAGATTGAAATTGTAATGGTATTAACAGCACAGAAACACATTACTTCTGACTGCATTAGCAGAAAGGTGACATTTCTTCTTTTCAATGGATAGTCGATCTGGGATTTCAAATGATTGTAGCCTCTGTAATGGCTGTTAATGAAGTAGCCCTCGTCAAAAACCATTTCAACATACGTACTGTATGCACAAACACATGCACATATGCATGCATTAATTATGTACATGTAATCACAGCGCTGATTCAGAGTGTCTCCAATCAAACACTTCAATGTGAGTTTATGCAGGTTAAAATGTTACTATGATCTCTAGCAGCATTTCAAAGCACTCGCAATCAAAGTCTCACAGGAAACGCTGCCTTTGTGCTGGAAATATTCAGGGAAATTTTATTGTTCAAAAAGGTTCAAGAAACCAGTATTTCAGCGGCTCAAAGTAACAGGTCCAGATATTACAGAAGCAGCAAATATAACAAATATAGATTTTCAACGGCCTTTCAAAAACTATTAAACCCCCCAATGCACGGTAAACATGTGGTACCAATAGTTCATAATATTCCATAAATCATTTATAGTAAAGTTGCTGAAATGAAAAGAGAACTGATTTTTTCACAACATTTACTCAAAATTCACACACAAAAATCTAAGAAAATATTTCTTAGGAAATGTATTAATCATTTTATAGCCATATATATGTAAGGGATAATGCACGGCTAGCTGTGCATTAAACGATTTTAATGCACGACGTGGAGGCCAAGAACCCTGGTTGCCTCTGCAGAGTGCATTAAAATCATTTAATGCACAGCTAGCCGTGCATTATCCCGCTTATACCATGGTCATTTGCCAGCAGTGACAAGCTAAAGCTGTTAATGATGCTTGAAGCGCAATATTTGACCGGAAGGGTAAAACTATTTTCGTCAGTTACGGCTCATTAGCTCTAGCATTCTGTCCGCTTCAAATCAGACAGAGCTATGAAGTAGTGCGGTAAGACCACATTTATTTTAGTGAATTATAGCATTTATGCCGAGTTCACACTGCACGATTTTAGCCCGATTTTTCACTCGCCGACAGGTTTTGCGAAATCGCGGACAAATGCCCGAAATCGGAGGCAAATCGGTGCTCGTTCACGCGAGTGACAATCACGCAGTGTGAATTATCAAAGACGCGATCTGAGGGAATCGCCAACGCCCGTGAAATATTTGGCATGCTAAATATCTGGAGCTGTCGGTGATTCACAATCACGCTGTGTGAAATGAGTTCTGACTGAAAAACACATCGGCGATGACCAATGAGAGACCAAGATACAGGGCAGCGGGAAGTTCGGGGAGGAGTTATATGAAACGTAGTTTGCGGACCAGTGTTGCGATTGCCATCGGATGTTTTTTATGTCAGCAGGTTGAAGCGACCCCAATAACGTGATATTTAGGCCCTGGAATGTGAATTGTACCAGGAGAACCCGGCAAAAAAAAATATGTATTTTACCCCCCGAACACGATTTTTACTGGGGGACCCCTCGAAAGCAATTGGGCTATTTTCAGGCTAGTTTTGAGTAGTAATTGGGCGGGTTTTGTAGCACATCTCTGAGGAGCCACGTTGCCCTTCGTTGCTCGTAAGTCATTTGTCCCTGTGTGGACTACGATGTGCTTGTAAGCAGGGTGCGAATTACGGGGGGTTTGAGCGGGTCTGACCCCCCTAAAGAAGGCTTGATCCCCCCTGATGGACGTCAAAACTAAATGTAGGGGGTATGAATGCAAATCTGCAGTGTCCCTTCAATTATGCCAAACTATTGATCGCTCGTTCACCGCTTCCCTTCTTCTGTCATTACACCATATGCTGTCTTTCTTGAATAATTTCCTCTTTCATTTTCTTCTTGACTTTTTGAGGTTTGATCTCAGAATAGGGGTGTTTATTAGCCAAATAAGCTGCATTTAGAAATAGTTTGACTGTGGTTTGCTTCAAGATCACTTACAGTATAAGCAGGGTGCGAATTACGGGGGAGTTTGGGGGGGTCTGACCCCCCTAAAGAAGGCTTGATCCCCCCTGATGGACGTCAAAACTAAATGTAGGGGGGGTTGGATAGAAAGTAGCCAATGCATAATATGGAGATTTACTTGCAAATATCGAGACTCGAACCCGCAACCTTTGGGTTACGAGTCCGACTCTCTAACCATTACCATACTGAGTACAGGTTCTGTACTCTCACACAGCAGCTCTATCTCATTCTAATCATCTCATATGTACAGGTTTTTCTCTACGTTTATCTCTTCATCTGCTTCTTTTTAATCCTCAAGCCTTAGAGACGCAGTAAGACTGATATTATCACTTGCCATTTTCAGTCTCTTCAGGAAAAAAATAAAAGCACAGTTGGAAAACAGAAGTGGAGGGAAAACTAGAAAAACTATTCAATCAAACAATATCAAATAATGAGAAAGTGGTGTGTTTTTAGAAAAATTCGGCTCCTGCACATTACAACCAGGGTTTTTAGATAACTAAAACATTTTGATCTGACATGAAGCTGAAATAAATTAAAATATAAATATTAGAGAAAATGCTATATAGCAATGTATTATTTTGTATACATATTAGAAATATTGGAAATATTATAGACTAAATAAAAATGAGAAAAGTTGCCTTGGCAACTAACTGAAATATGTTTAACTTGAAGCACCAAATAAACTAATAAATAAATATTTAAAACGATAATATAATGAGTTGTAGACAATCTGGCATTGTAACGACGATTGTTGGCTCTATGATGAATTGCTTTGTTCCACTTTTGTAAGTGTCTTTAGATAAAAATACATATGTAATGCTAAATGTAAAAGCAAATGAGTTTATCCCTGACAAACCTCCGTATAGTCCCATATAGCCACTTGTTAACAACTGCCTTTCTCTAAGCAAAAAGCTTTTTAAAAAATCAGCCTTCGTTTGGTCAGTTTTCACTTGTCAGGATTTCTGAAGAACATTGCTGTCGCCTTCTCCTAGCATCCATTATCCAAAATCCAAATGAAAATATGCAACACATCCATATCATTACTGTCATCATAATAGGCATCATTTCTGAACTGGCAGCGTATGGGAAGCAGATGTGACCGGAATATGAACGCAACATGCAAAATCTCATGTTAAGAGTTTTCCTCCCATAGAAAACCATTATTTGAAAAGCAATACATTACACGTTAAGCAGCAAGCGCATTAAAGGGATAGTTCACCCAAAAATGAAAATTACCCCATGATTTAATCACACTCAAGGCATCCTATAGGTGTATATGACTTTTTTTCTTTCAGATTAATCCAATCGAAGTTATGAAAAAGAATGTCCTGGCTCTTCCAAGCTTTATAATGGAAGTGAATGGGTGGTTTTTTTCAATAGTCCAAAAGAAGTCCAATAAAACACATCCATCCATCATAAAAAGTGTCCCATACGTCTCCGAGGGGTAAATAAAGGCATCCTGAAGCGAATCGATGTGCTTTTGTAATCCGATTGGATTCATCTGAAGGAAGAAAGTTATATATACATCTAGGATGCCTTGAGGGTGAGTAAATTAATTTTTTGGGTGAATTATCCCTTTAATGCGCATGTAATGTATTGCTTCCATATTCTAGGCTATTATGCTTGTCTGTAAATATGCTTTATTAATAAGGTGTTTACTGAATTTGGACCTTCAGTGTTACTGTTTTAGTAGGCTACATTACATTAAGCGTTTTTCACGTTAAGCGTTTGTAAAACAGTCCACGGCCACACCCCCGCGCTAATGGTACAGCCCACAGCGCAAATTGCAAGGAAAAAATTGAACAATTTTAAATAGTTTAGATTTCATTGATTCATTTATCATTTTATCATTTAGCAAAAGTAAAATTGAAATAAACAAAACAAAGAAATGGCAATTATTAATTTAAGAAGCAACTGAAAAAAATAATGAAAAAAATGAATGTTTGGTTTCATTTTTTTTTATTATTGCATTTTCACCATATGGTCTGAAAATTGAATTGTGAAGCGTTACATGGACCCTAGAGAGCGGAGTAGTTCTGTTGCTCTGCGTCTTGAAGAAACATTAGTTTGACGAAATGTATACACTCACTGTTTTGCTGCATGAGTCAGTGCATGTGTGTAAAACTCTTCTCAGTTGTGTAACCTCACCAGATATTTTCCTGCTTTTTCTGCTAGTAGAAAGGAAAGGTGAAAATAAAGCGGAAACACAATATACTGTTAGTGCTTATAAAAGCAGGTCAAGCTCAACTCACCCAACATCACCTCTGTAGTTTCACTAAGCTGCCCAAACTCTGCTCTGATAGCAATAATCCAGACAGAGCTCTGGAACCATTATACAATTTATTCTATTTTTAGAAAGCAAGACTAGAAACATCTCAAAACGCACTGGACTTGAATTGAGTTTGTGAGACAGGAATCCCCTGGGTGCTTTTTGTATAGGTGTTACTTCAAGTTGTTGCTTCAAGGTTACGTTATCCGTGGGGAAAAAAGAAGAATTAGGTTACTATTTGGGTGAAGCTCATGAATGCTGCCTGGGTCATATTTCAACCCAAAATCAAAAGAAATACAATAAATTACATTTTACACTAAGAACATGAAGCCTTTTTTTTCCAGCACTTAGATTTTGAGCATTGTGACATTGTTAATTTATTTCAAATAAAAAAATGTTGGCATGCTAATTATAAAAAGCTTGCAGAAAATACAGATTTTTGAGAATCACCCTTCAATCATTTGGTTTACTTTGCTGGATATAGCAAATTATGACAAAATAACCATTTGAAACTAGATAAATGGTCTATGCTTAATTTCATGAAGTGTGCAATTAATCGCGACTAATCACAGAAAAAGGGTGTGATTAATTAGATTAGACATTTTATCTATTGACTATATATGTGTGTGTGTGTGTGTGTGTGTGTGTGTGTGTGTGTGTGTGTGTGTATAGGCCTATACATTATACACGAGTGTGTTTATATTTGATTAATTATCAAAGAATATAACATATATCAACATTTTAACGTATTGTGTTTTGGTTTCATGTACAGTTTGTTCTGTTCATGATTCCTGTGTCCAGACAGGTTGATTTCTAATGCTGTATTATGATTATCAGAATTATATATTTTTAATTCAAGTAATGTTAAGAAAATTTGGAAGGAAAATGTGTTTACTTGTCATGTAAATA